CTATTAACTGAAGGATGGACTAGCGATAATGAAGCGATAGACGAAATAATAAAGAGCACACAACTCAAAGCAAAGGGTTCCATCGTGTGAGATATCACTGAATGGTTGCTGACCTGTTGATATCACTGACATCAACACCCCAAAACTATAGATGTCAGATGCCATTGTATGCGTTTCACCTCTTAGAACTTCAGGTGCAATATATGGCATTACCCCGTATATATTATTTGTATTTGATGATGATGACGATGTTGATATTGGTTTGACTAGAGTTGTCAACATTAAATCTGTAATATGTGTAGGCATAAATTGTTGTTTTTTTTTGTGAAAGATGTTGCCACTGTGAAGATTACAGTGAATGAGATTTTGTTGATGGATTTTTTGTAAAGAACCTTTAATATAATTAAGAATTTTTATTTTTTCCAACCATGGTATTTTTTTAAAATCAACAGATAAATAATCATAAAGATTTCCGTCGCGTTTATACTCCATTATTATTATAAGTTCTTTTTTAAATGGATCAATTGTTAATCCATATATTTGATTAAATTTTTTATAATTTTTGAGCTATAACATTTATACATGTATATATTCGTTTTAGCAATATATTTTTGTAAAAACAAAAATCTCAAGAAAATAAATAAGACAAAGTAACTTGCCTGATTTAAAACTTCCTTGGAAATCTTTTGAGAGCCATGTAATTGTTTTAATGCAACAGTACAATCTTTATTGTGCCTTATGTCGTTCTTAGGATGTATATAATTTTCACCCTTTATCCAAGTAGCTTTGTATATGGTTGTAAAACCCCCTTCGCCTATCTTTTCAATATATTTTAATTGTTCATGAGGAATTTGTAAATCATTAATATCACATCTTTTTGCTTCTTCAAGTTGTATGCTTTTCTCGTTACCACAAGCTGGTTCTTTACAAGAATTCGGCGGATCAAAAATTCTTTTAATTAATTCTATCAATCTTGAAGAAACAAAACCAATATACGTCAAAAACATTTTTTTTTTAAAAAAAAAACCCCAAATGATATCGGCTCATATATATATAGAAAAAAAAGAAAATATTAAAACTTGGTGAAACGTGAACGCTAGTTATTATTTATTCCGCTTTATTTACGTTACATTTTTTTCTATTACTATTTAGATTTTTATTTTTTATTTTCCGCGTGAAAATAATATATATTTATTATTATTAATATTAATTTATTATTATAATAAAGCTGTTATCGGATAAGAAATTGTATTAATTTATATAAACAAATTATAAATTTAATAAATAAATATTTAATGTTTTTTTATAATCTTAATTTAGCAATTCATCCGTATCTCACGTATCTAAATGTACTTGTGAGAATTTATAAATATAAAAAGGTACTTATAAATATAAAGAGATATTATATAAAGATAATTGTTAAAACTGATATTTTATTACAATATCATGTTTAAAATTGATAATGATGGAATTACCATTTGTATTATACATTCTACTGTTCTTATCAGTGTCATTTAAGGTCTCCTGGAAGTTCTAAAAGTCTGCTAGTATAAACAGCATTTGGGTGAACAATTTTTGAAGGGTCAAATTCCATTCTATCCATTTCATCAATTTCTCTTCTCCTTGATTTTATTTCATCAATCTGATCTTGTGTATAATAATCATGGTTTTCAGCAGAAATTACAAAATCATTAAATGAGAGTTTCCAAGAAACCAAAATCTCTGCAATTTTTTCTGCAGTTGGTCGTTTTTCTGGATCACTGTCCATGCAACTGCATGCTAACTCTTTGTAAAAACTAGGTGTGTTACTGGAAAATCTTGGCCTTAACCCATGAAAAATCTCAAGCATAAGACTTATTCCATGTGAGACATTACTGAATGGTCGCTGACCTGTTGATATTTCTGCCATCAACACCCCAAAACTATAGATGTCTGATGCCATTGTATATGGCCTTCGATTCATAACTTCAGGCGCAATATAAGGTATCACCCCAAACATATTACTATTTGATGATTTTTGATCAACTGGACATGATAACCCTAAGTCTGCAATGAATGTAGTAATAAAATGACATTGTTTTTGGTGAAGAATATTACCACTGTGAAGATCGCGATGAACGATGTTTTTTGCATGAATTGTTTTTAACCCTTTGATAATACTCTCAAGAATCTTTATTTTATCTTTCCACCTTAAAATTCTAAATTCTCTTGATAAATAGTCACGAAGGCTTCCTTCTTCTTTATAATCCATTACAAATATATATTGCATTGTATGTGGATCTCTTGTTATTCCATAAATATGAATTATACATTTTTCTTGATGAAATATAACATAATTTTTAAACTAGAAAATAAAGTAAAATCATTTTAATAATTAATTTGGTTAGTAAATTTTTTAAAAAAAAATGACTTTACCTCTTTTAGAAATTCTTTCGAAATTTCTGGAGAATGGAATCTTTTTAATGCAACAATCATGTCGTTTGCACATCGTTTTTTATTTTCGTCTATGGATTTTCTACCATTTTTCCAAGTAGCTTTGTATATAATTGCATTGCCGCCACTACCTATAATTACACTGTTTATCAAATCCTTATAAGAAATCCATTCAAGATAATTATAATTATTGTATCCCTTTGCTTTGAGTTGTGTGCTCTTTATTATTTCGTCTATCGCTTCATTATCGCTAGTCCATCCTTCAGTTAATAGAATCGGGTCACATCTTTGGCACCATTCATAATTAGCATAACATCCCATACACCTTTGGCATGTGCCATATTTTGCTTCATCCTTTACTTCTGATTGTCTGTCAAAATTTGCTTCATTAGAGTCATCAAAGCTGTAAGAGCCGCTATGATATCTGTGTCTATTCGAATTGCCTTCCATATGTTTTAAGAATTTTTTTTCTCCTGAGTTTAAACAAATTTTTAAAATCGGAAAAAATTTTTATTAATATTTTACAAAATGAAATTGACAAGTTTAGATAGATATATATAAACAAGAATATTAAAATGTCGTCTTACAAACATTTTGTAAAAAGAATTGATAAACTTATTATACGCAAATAATTTTCAATAATGTGACTTTTTCGCAAACAATAATAATAAATCTTAATATTAATATATATAAATAAATCCAATTGCTTTTCAATTCTGTCCGTACTGATACACTATTACTATTCTTTTTTGTTTATACAGAATTTGTGATGGGCGTTGAGTACTTAATATGTACAAAAATTTAGTACAGAGGCGCAGATGTACAGAACCTGTATATACTCGAATAAATCTTGATTGTGTTTATTTCACATATTCCTTTAAAATATTTACAATATTAATTAACTCCACTAATTAATTTTAAAAAAATATAATATAATATAATCATTAATTGTTGTTTATATTAACTGCTTTCTCACTATTTTTGTTTAATCTTTTGTGTTTTAGTCTCTTTCTTTTTCCAATATGGTATACCAAATTGCCAAATTGCATAAATCACTAATGAACTTATTAAAATTGTCCAAAATATTATTACACTCGTTGGAGCTGGATTTGGGAATTCGCCTCTACCAAATTTAAAACATATGACTGATTCTGTCATTATATTTGCTATAGTCAACCATGCTTGTGGACCAAGTCTTTTACAATCTCTAAAGTGTTCGTATGGGAAATAAAATAAAATAAAATGTTTGAGTAAAATTTCAAAAGAAACTCAATAAAAAAATCTCATTTACTTGTCTGTTAAATATTGATAAGCTTCTCTTGTACCAGGAATTGCACAAAAAAAAAGTAATATAAATCTATATGCATTTAATGGATGTTCTGGTGGTATCCATAATAAATATTTCAAATAGAAAGCGTTCAAATCAGTTTGTAAAAACTAATTTGAAAATTTTAAATTAAATTAATAAATTATAAAAATTAAATGTCATTTTGAAAATAAAAAGAGAAGCTCATTAGATATACCAAAAATAAAAGTCCAATGACGGCTAAATAATTTTTAAAACTTTTTGTTGTTCCCCATTCGAATTTTGTCCAATGATGCGGTGTGAACTGTTGGACTGTACGTTTCATTTTCCCTTTTAATGACGGAATTTGTTTAATACCTCTCCACGAATAACCCTTCATCTCAAAATATTCACATGTTTTCATTCCAAGATATAAACCAGCCCAATTGCATATTATAACATCCAAAATCCACTTTAATAAATTAAAGTTGTAATGTAAGAATAAATTTATATATATAATATCCTAGAAGCGTATGATAATCTCATATATGCTATGGCATATATAAAAATAATATGTAACTTACATGATCCCACCAACATTCTGCAAAATTATTTAATTGATGTTGTAACGAATATTCCATCACCTCAAACATAACGGACAATATCCAACAAAACCAATAATCACGAAGCACCAATGCCTTGGCAAACCATCCAGATGCATGATAAACAACGAAAATATCCATCTGATCCTAATAAATCAACAAAACAAAAAATATGTGAATTTTATTAATTTAAGATCTTATGATTATTAAACCCATCGAACATATATATTTACTTTGATATTTTCAATTGTTAATTCACAGTTGTCAGCATATGAACGTTCAGGAAGTGGTCTGCCTAAAGATGGATCTATTGTTGCAAAAATGTATCTCGCGTCACGTTTATTCTATTAATATTATGATATATAAATTTTGGATTATTTAGCTAATAACGATAAATTATTAAAAATAAAATTGAAAATAATTAATTACTTGGAATAGAAGAAACACTAAAAACATTTGATATAAAACTCCTAAACCCAATACAATTCTCCATATTACTGGATGTGGTCTAATGAATGGCCCATCTCTAAATTGTAGCATTGCAAAAAGCAAAAAAAATCCAACTCCCGCCATGGCTCCACTATTATAAAAGCACAAATATGAATATTAACTACTTAATATTTATAAGTAAATTTTTTAACATACAATTTAATATTAATTGAGGTATCAATCATTTCTGGTTTCATAGCAACATAAAGTAGTCCAATCAACATTGCTGACAGTACTGATAAAGTTCTTGGACGATCTATGAGCATAACATATTTATAAAATCAATAAGTTTGGGATAACATTCTTAAAAAAAAAGAAGATTTCTTATGAAGCATACAAAAGAATTCAACCGTAGGATCATTTTCTGTATATGCAGCTGGTTGAACTGGTATAGATCTAGCATCAAAAGGATCTATTATTGCTTCTTTATTATTTATAATACTACCACTAACAATGCTGCTACGACGACTACTGTTGCTGCTGTTGCTATTACTACTATTGTTGCTAATGGTAGACTGCAGTGTTGGGTCCATGAAAGATGCCATAATTTTGAATTTTTTTTTTAAATTGAAAAAAAATTTATTATTTATGTGTCAAGCATGATATACACATGTACGATGTAACATTGACGTAATAGCACTGACCATCTTAATATTAATAGTAAACTAACCCAAATTAACAATATATAATAATAAAATATTTCTAATTTAATTTATAAAAACAATATGGAATCTTTTATTTCTTCCCCTTTTTTTAATAATGTTATTAAAAAATTTCCAGCTATTTCTAGTTTTCCCACACCATTTCAACATTTGAATGTTAATTACTTTTTACCATTAGCTTTTACAGGATTTGCTTTAATTTTGACTAGTTTACTGTTCAATATTTATAAAAAAATTGAAAAGGGCAAGTTTCAAGACAATAACAAAATTATGAAGTTTCCTATTTTTTTTTTTTTTTTGTTATTATTATAAATAAATATATTTATCCTAAATATCATAATCATTATTACAACTGCCATTATCATCAATTCAAAATGGTCTTATAGATGATAATGAACCATCTAACATCATTCAGAAGCATACGCAATTTGTAAACATCAGGAATAAACGAATTCGGATCGTTCACATTATACATGAACTTGGTGCAAAAGTGCCATTAATTTTATTTATTCACGGATTAGGTGGCCAGGTTGCTTATTCTCGCTGATTATAATATACGATTAACAATTGATCATAATGATTTACCACTTAATTACCCTTCTTTGTTCTTTTATTATTGTATTCTATAAAAAAAAGGCAGCACAATGGGAATATCAAATTGAATATTTCTCATCGACTGCAAATGTTTTAGCTATTGATTTGGTTGGATGTGGGAAAAGTGAAGTATCAAGAAGGTAAAAAAAGATATATACTCGTAATAATAAATATTTTATACATCATTTATAACATTATTAATAATAATAATGACAATACTAAAGGCTAGAAGATTATACTACGGAATCATTAGTGGAAGATCTAATAGAATTACTAAGACGTTATCCAAGTGATAATACGGTATTGATTTGTCATTCTTATGGTTGTTGCTTGGGTACTTTTTTGTACCAACGTGTAAAACAATCTATAAAAGCTTTGACACTTATTTCGGTAAAAGCTCAAATAACCGAAAAAGATCTGGAACGACAGCGAAGAATTCAATCAATACCTGATATTATATTTAATATTTTACGTATATTGGATCGTCGAGGTGGGACTCATTCTACAAGTGTTAATCGCATGCTAAGCAAAACTGCAAATGATATGATTAGATCAAAGCAACTTCTATGGAATAAACAATCAAAAACTCAAGTTTATAAATTTATGTTAAAGGGAGCGAAATGGTTTACCAGAGAAAATATAGATGCTATCGAATGTCCTTTATTACTCATTTCTGGTCAAGCGGTTAGTTACAATCTAATAAATAAATTTTGTAATGGTTATCAAACTTATTTAACTTTTTTTTCAAGGATGAAGTTACACCACCTAGCGAAATGGCACTTATACATGAATGGAATAATAAAGTAGGCGCATCACCACAGCCTGTTATCATTCAAGAATCAGGTCATGTTCCAATGTTGGAAAAACCGGAATTGTTAAATCGTATAATTAATCAGTTCCTTATAAATGAATGCAGACTTGCAACATTGGATCCAGCATGGCAAATAATCTACGAAACCAAAGACGAAAATAAATGGTCAATGAAAAATTATGAAAAGGTTTGATATCACATCATCATCATTCATCTTGTTGTTATGATATATATTTAAAAATTATATATATTTAGTGGAAACAAACACCTATTATATCAGAAATTACTGTCAATAACACAGGTTTTAGAGCAATGAAAGTATGTATCTGATAATTGTTCCTCATTACTCATTATGATTTAATATATACATGAAAAATTAATCACCTTTTTATAAAAAAGGTTATGCGTCAGAATGATGAAGAACATTGTCCGACGGCTTTTATTGCACGGCACCCGGAAATAGGATTGTAATCTATCAAATCAATTCAACAATCTATAAATCCGTATTCAAACTTTCTTTGAACTTGGTTTTATTTCTTTTCACTTTATTGGAAAAAAAATGAGATATTAATTTAATATATTGTTATTGTTATTATTAATTCAACACGCAGTATTTTAGATATAACAAAAGATTCACCACCATATCGAACAAGTGACTTTGACAATTCTCATATCACTTACATAAAATTCAGTACAGCTAGTAAAATTCCACCTTCACGTGATGAGGTTAGAAAATTTATTCAAATAGCAAAAGAAGCTTGGAATAAGAAACCAGATAAACAAATTGTTGTGCATTGTCACTATGGGTTTGTAATTTTTTTCACAGAGTAGAATTTTATTCTATTGGAACTGGTTTTTATTTTTTTATGATTAACATATCTATGTGTATGCATGTGTGCATGTGCTATAGGTTTAATCGAACAGGATTCATGATCTGTTCTTATTTAATCGAAGAATTACATTTAACAGTTGCAGACGCTATCAAATATTTTGAAGAAGCAAGAAAACCAACTGGTATCAGGTAAGTTTGTGTGTATATATTGTCTTTGAAGTTTTGTTAATTATCTGGCTGGCTGATTGATTGTATGTTATTATTTTAGACATCGTCATTTCAAGGATGAATTATTTCTAAGATATGAACCACCTCTTCGAATGAATCCACATGTGCAATTTAACAATATAATTAATCACAATCAGCATAATCTGAATAAATATATAATTCAACATCATAATCTTACTAAAGATATATCTTCTAATAATATATCAGCACCAATTATCTTTCCTTCCTCATCTAACAGATCATCATCAAATAGCAACAATAATAATAACGGCGAGAATGGTAATAAATTGTCTTCGCCAATTGGTAATTACAAAAATATATAGCAGGCCTATATATATATACATATTAATAAAGAAAGGTTCCATCACAAATTCAGAACAATTGATTGTGCCAATTTTATAATTTGGATTTTGTATACATTATTGGATATCATTAATTTTTTGATCATTTACTGATCTCATAAGCTTGACTGGATTAATTTTACGGTTTTTAACTGAACATTTTTTTTATTTTTACTAATTCCCTTCTGAATTTAATTAAATTCTTTTATTAGTTATATTTTTATTAGTTATTATTTTATTATGAATTTGTAAATTTATATTAATATGTACAAATAATAAATGAAGCTTATTATAGCAAATATCGTTATAATAAACATAAATAAAACCTTGAACTTTTCTCTGATTGATTTCATTCAACAATTAATAAACCCAATTCTTTATTAAGTTCAAAAATCAGAGTTGTTGTAAAATTACATTTCATGACGAATAATTTTAGTAATATTTATAGTTGTCCTTGTTATAATTTTATTTGAACAAATAATAAAAAACAAAATTTTATTATTTTTTCATTATCTCATTTTCTTTTTCTCGCCTACTCAATAATAAAATTAGAATAAGAATTGACACTAATATTTTTTTTGAAAAAAAAATATATATTAAATAAAATGATCATGATTATGATTATAATAAATAAAAAGTATTAATAATTAAATATGTGCATATAAATATTTTTTGGGGTGATTTTGTAAAATAAAAAGTCCTTTCTAAAAATAAATTAACGTAATTAAATTTAAATTTTTCTTGCAATTATGAAAAATCTATGACTTTCTACAGAAAGGTAACCTTCATTCTGAATTTTGTGATGTAAATTTATCAATTGTTCAGAATACTTTTCCACTGAAAAATCCTCAATTTGCCATGGAATAGCTCTTAAATAGTAAACAATTGCACCAACATCATAAAATTTTGTCTCTATAAAAGCCTCTTGTTTCTCAAGTATGGTGAATCCCGCCTTGACCATTTCACTACAAGCTTGTTCTAAATGCCATTCACGATAACCAAGATGTTCTGGTGCACCTAATAATTTATTTATTTCTATATTATCCCTTTCTCCAACTTGTTGTGTCACAAATATGCCATTTTGTTTAAGGAGCCTATGTACTTCATAGATAATATATGGTTCATGTCTATTAATTATCAAATCAAACCTTGCATCATTAATTGGTAATCTAACGTCATAATCGGTAATTGCTAAATGTTATTTGTATAAATAAATGAATGAATTAAATTAATTAACTGATTAAATCGATAAAAAAGAATGATAGATTCCAATCATTTGTATCATTTTGTTCCTTTGCTTTTTTATTATTAACGATTAATAATTGTAATAAATTAATATTGATTGAACTATTATTGTCATATCATAATTACCTGTAACTGTTACTCCTAAAGGTTTTAAACGTTTTCTTGCAATATCAATATTGGGAGCCCAACCTTCTGTTGCACAAGTATCTGGAGGTAAAGGACTCAAAGAAGCAAGAAATTCACCGCTACCAGTTCCCATATCTAAAAGCCCTTTATGATGTGGTAACAAACTTCTCACGGTATTTTCATAATTCCAACCTAAAGATCCGGAATTTTCTTCCATGCGACCTTTAAGATATGAAAAGTCCCAGCCTGTAAAAGGCTTTTTAAATTCTGTTGTAAGATGAAGAATTAAATTCTCATTAGAACTCTCTTCATCGTCATGTTGTGAAATTAAATCCATTTTTGTTTTCGTTGTTGCGATTGTTGCTGCGTTAGTGGGAAAAGTTCATGCAGAATAAAATGAAGAAAATTTTCTGATTGTTTTTGAAATAATAAGCATGCATATATATATGGGAAATAAAATAGTTTTATAAAGTGACGCGCTATTTATCTGCTTTTTTATGCTTATTTATAAGATACAAACTAATAAATAACAAACAAGAATTTAATATTGTTACATTTTTTTTAATAATAATTATAAAAAAGGTAAAAAACAATTTTTTCTTAAAAATGAAAGTATACACGTGATCAAGAAAAACAAAAAACATCCATTCATAAGAAAAGTAAACACACATTAATAAGTTACACGTGCATGTATGCATATTTGTACTTTCAATCATTCTTCACAAATATCATCAGAACCACCATCTAGAGTTGTCTCATGATATAGTTTCTCTTCAATAAATCCTATATAATGAAGACTTTTTATGACATATAACAAAGTTATTAACTTATTAATTACCAATCTCAATCAATCAGTCAATAAAATTATTAGCAAATTACCCCCCAAAACCTCCAATAAAATAAATATCTTGAACTTTAAATCGATAGAAATGAAATGAATGAACTTTGCCAGGAAGCCTAATAATTGCCATAATCATTTAAGAAGTTAACGAATTGATAATGTTCTTGATTATCATCACCATCATTAGCATGAAAAGAAAAGACATCCTTACCAATAACGAGCTTTTGGATGTTTCTCTAGATAACAATTTTTAACATCATTCTCCTAATTAATTTAAATATTAGAATTCCTTTTCTCCCAATAATAATAATAAATATAATTAATTAATTAATTAATTAATTAATCAATACTTGTTATATTTACCTCACTCTCGTTAACCCTTGTTATTTTACCAAATAAATTTAATCTTGGTTCAGCGAAAGGAAAAAATGATTTCTTGGAACTTAATTTACGAATCGACAGAGAAGCTCTCAGTCCATCATCAAAAGCATTGCGAACATTTAGCTTTTTTCCATACATACAGTAAATTCATGGTTTAGTATATTTGTAATTTTTCAATCATCCCTTCCCTTATTTTCATCCCTCCTTTCTTTTACCTGTACATGACTCAAAAGTAATAATGGATCTCCAGTGGATGGACAATCATCTGATAAATATTCAAGAAGTCCAATTGGATATCCTTAAAATTTTATTATTATTATTATTATTATTATTATTATTATTATTATTATTATTATTATTATTATTATTATTATTATTATTTAAGAATAAATATATACATGATAATTTCACCTTTCATATGATCTTCATTTTCGCTCATAATAGTAACAAGAGTTCCATATCCTGTTTCATTTACCAAATTTCTTGCTATTCTCGCTGCGTCCTCTTTAGTTTCTGTAATTCCTCTTGTTTCAACATTGATAATTATTTTTTCGCAACTAATTATTATTAATATCAATAACAAATTATTAATGGAAAAATATTTCATCTTTAATAGATTTATTTATTATAAGTCAACTTTCTTTTGTCACACACCAATAAAGTTTTTTTATGCGAATAAAATTAATTATCAAGTAGGTCCCTATGTAATCACTGGCAGAAATAGACAAACTTATTTTTGCAACTTGATATTATAATCATGTGATACAATCAGTTTATCATTTAATAATAAGAATATAGAATTTTTTATTTCTGCCTGATAATTCATTTATCAGATACCTCCTACACTTCCTATAGTCAATATTCTTTTTTTCACGTGCCTGAAGGGCACGTGAAGAACATATTGATATTTATATAATATCAAAAAAAATGGAGTTTCTACCAGTAGAAAAAAAATGAAGCAAACATCATTTCATACTCCAATGAAGATGTAATTTTTACGAACCAGGTATTTTGCTTCAAAATGGTGCGTGATCTATATTATCATGATGAATTTGTATGTGAAGATAAATGATTTTTTATCTTTTATTTATAATAATGTTTATTATACAGTATATAGAAGTTTTATCAATCCGAAGAGGAGGATGATATCAAAAGTAATCCCATTGTGTTCACTTTGCCTGGTTTTGTTACAATATGCCTATATAAATAATGCTTACATGTTGGTTATTATAAAGAAATAAAAATGTATTTATTTAATCGGATGATGCTTTAATAAAAATTTATTTAGATGATGTTTTAATAAAATATATTTTGTGAGTTAATTTATAATAAAACCTTTATAAAATTTAGCTAAATATTAATATTAAAGTTTACACAGAGTCCTACTATATATTTTCAAAAAGTTATATTTTGTGCAAGAAAGAATACCTTTTTCACACTAAGGAAAATATTAATATTAAGTTAGGGATGTTGTATGTGAAATTGAAACTGTGAAATCAAAATTTATAATTAAAATTTTGGGATGGAGTGTTTGGATATGAAATTCTAATTGGTTAATTTGAATTTCACGTATGTGAATTGCAAGTTCACATAGATTTCATTTTCACGCACAACAGGGATAAAGGAAACATGAGATTAACTTGATATAAGGATCATATTTTCACTGGTAAAAAAGGCACTCATAAGAAGAATGACATTTATTTATTTATAATTGTAATTATAAAATTATTTGATCCATTGATTATTAGCTTTATGCCAGCCTTCAATTGATTTATCAGGATATTCATCAAATAAGTCAGCTTCACTTGAATCAGGAACTTCAGCCCAATCAGCTTTATCTTTAACATTATACAAACCAATCTTTTGGGTTTTGGCAGTGGTGTGTCAATTGCAGATGCAAACGGATAGCACTTTGTGTGAATGTTTTTTTTTAAAAAAGTAAATTGTTTATATTATAAATGTAAGTGAGTATTTAACTACAAAATAAATAAATAAATAACTAACCCATTCAGAATATTTTGGATCATAGGCCCATAAAAATGCACACATTCTTTACAAAATGATCTTCTATTTCCACTATTTAAGCAAAATAAAATCTAAATTTATTATTATTATTATTAATATTATTGTGATTATGATTATGATTTACCATTCCTCTTGTTGTTTTTTAGGTAAAGATTTATCCTTAATTCCACGATAACTTCTACAAAAGAAAACAATATTTATTAGTTATCATAAATAATTATTCAATACATACTAATATGTCTTGACATTTTCCATTCCGTCAACTTCAAGTGTATCATTCTAAAACAAAAAAAAACCATTATAAATTTATCAAAAAAAGAAATCATGATCTAAATTAACTAATTAATTACCAATCCCATAATATTAATACTATATCCACCTCCACCATCAAGTTTACGGCATATGGAACTTGAAAATATGATTATTTTTAGGTGGTAAGCAAGCATATTAATATATTCAAAAATTCAAACTTTTATTAATATTACCAATAACATCTCATATATGGTACAGGTGTATTAGACTTTACTTTGAATTTAACTTTTCCACAATGACAAGAGCCTTGAAGTTCCATTTCAAAAAATAAAAAAAATTTGTAAAGAATGATTATTATATTTATTTTATATATATTAATATTTTCTCACGCATTTATTAATGAATAAAAAAAAAAGCTACGACACCCAGTATTCCCATGTTGTCCCCAACCATAGTACTGACTGGGCCATTAGTGGTTTAACTTCGGAGATCGGACGGGTTCCGGTGCTTTTCACTATGTATGGCCGTAGCTGATAATATTAGCAAATTATGTTTATTTAAAATTAATAAGTTTTTTACTTATATATTGATATAAAAAACACGAATATATAAATAATTTAAAATAATTTACATCAAAAATATGTAAATCGAACACGAGTGAATATGAATACGAGTATGGGAAAATAACTAAATAGCAAGTTGTGATATGGAAATATATTTCCGTATACCTACTAGTTCTCTAATAAGTTTAAAATATTATGGATATTTGGCTAAAGGAGGCTGTTGTACTAAAATTCAGATGTTACAAAAAGAGTAAAGTTTTTAAAAATTAATATTAATGAATGTTACGGACGGATACAATACGCTGTGATAATATTTTTTTACACAATATATATTTTAGTACTAGTGCTAGGATTGGTTATATATTTGTTTGGTATTTAAGTGATTGACCAAAGGCAGCAGATGTTTACAGATTTTTTGAGATGATAATGTGGGAACATACCTCAGGCAAAAAGTCTTTTTTACATAATCATCACTTTATAACAGATATTCTGGTCCAAATACCAAAGAAGCTAAAGAGTGTCTAGAGAAAAAAAAAAATAGACAAGAAATTATTAATTCAGGAAAATACCATCCAGATACAAAGAATTACAAACACCATCATTTGGGCGCATTCCGTACAAGTCACTCGCTCTGTAAATTAATTGATAAAGCTAATTCACAAAATAATTTTGACCAATAATGATTTCAAATAAAAAAGTCCAACAAAAATACTTTAACGAATACGATTCAGTTTTTATACTAATGAGCTTAAAATAAAGGGATGGATGGTAGTATCGATTAATTTATTTACTTTTATTATTTTATATATTTTTTTGTAATAAATTAAAAGCCTAATCTGGTGGTATCATTTTTGTTACAACAATATGACGTTATCATTATTGTCACCAACAAAAACCTTTCAATTTTTATACCATTCTTGGTTGGGATCTTCAACATCTAAAAACTATAGCCATCTAATCTTCATTATTTTAATCATGGGAAATACCAGCAAGCCCTCAGATCCCATTGGTGTCAATGATTACAACTATTTAGAATAATTATGGTGATGGTGGTCGAAAAATATTCAGTTTTTTTATTTACTTGTAACAAATATTGTGAAAGTCTACAAAAATGAAACAAAAACCTAATTTGGGTATCATTCATAAACATTTAACTATCTTTTCTTTTTCCGTATAATTGATTAAATTATCTCCCTAAAAGTTTAGAGAAATATTTTAATCAAAAAATAAAATCAATGGATTCAGAAAAATTATCAAATCGATTGAACGAACTAATTGACAAATTAAATGAACTGAATAGCTTGATAATTAATAGAGAAGATAACGGATCAATTAGAATTAATGATTTATTGAATGAATTAATTGAGACATTGAAAATAATGGAAAGTTGTACTAAATGTAAAAACAAGGAATTAGAGGACGAAAAAATTCATGGTTTAATTGACGAATTCATTGACGAATTAAAAAAAAAGCCTTTAAACGATTTAGCAAGAATTAATAATACATTGACTGAAAGAATATATAAATTAAATCATAAATTACATATGTGGACAATATGTGATGAATGTGATGAAAAAAAGATCGAGAAATTAACTGACAAATGTGGAAATCAAGAATTAGCAATATATCTTCATTGTTATTATTATACCAAATGGGTTCCATTTGAGGAATTTAAGGGTGTTGAGCTTTTGGCTGAAGGTGGATTTGGAGATGTTTACAAAGCAATTTGGATTAACTATTTTAATGATTCAAATTACAAATATGAAGAAAAGGCTGTTGTATTGAAAAAATTATATAACCAAAATAAAATGATGGATATTATAAAGGAGGTAGGTAAACTTTATATGATAATAATAATAGAATTATCTCTTATAATTTCTAAATTATTATTAATTATTATTATCATCGTAATATTTTAGATAATAAGTCATAATAGTAATAAAGACTTAAAAACAATAAACAAATGTTATGGAGTCACTAAAGATCCAAATGGAAATGAATATATGCTGGTATTTGATCGTGATCTTGATGGAAGTTTACACAATTATTTATCAAGAAAATTTAAAGAAATTACCTGGCCAAAAAAATTAAGATCACTTATTCATATTTTAAAAGGGTAAGTAAGTCATGACTTTCTTTTTAAAATACTGAACTTGTTTAAAATAATTAAAAGATTTTTTTTAAATAATTAGATTAAATGAAATACATGCAGAAAATTACATACATTGTAATTTACACAGTGGTAATATTTTAACTAACGAATTAGATATTGGTATAATAGGAGATTTAGGATTATGTCAACAAGTTATTGAAAACAAGGATTCAAAAGAAGTTTATGGTGTCATCCCCTATTTAGCTCCCGAAGTATTATCATCCGAACCATATACAAAAAAATCAGATATATATAGCTTTGGTATGATAATGTGGGAATTCACCACAGGAAAAAAACCATTTTATAATTTACCACACGACCACCTTTTGATAACAGATATTCGGGAGGGAAAAAGACCAGAAATTACAGAGGACACACCTGATTTCTATGCTGATTTGATGAAAAGTTGTTGGGATCCCAATCCTGATAATAGACCAACTGGTGAAGAAATTTATGTACATTTACGAAATCAACATCTTTTACCATATGAAGGCGGAGTAATCGAAAAAGCAGAATTGGAACGTCAAAAAATTGTCAAGTCGGAAAAATATCTTTTGAATGAAGAGAATGACAAATACCATAGAGACGCGTGTTATATTAGTCGTCCACTTGGTAGATTAATTGAAGAAGCTGATTCACTAAATAAACCATCAGAGTTACCAGAACCTCCAGAACCTCCAGAAGAGAATGTTGAGAGTGATAAAATTAAGGATGATGATGGCGACAATTATGATAAGAACGATTATAATGTTGAGAGTGATAAGATTAAGGATGATGATGGTGACAATTATGATAAGAACGATTATAATGTTGAGAGTGATAAGATTAAGGATGATGATGGTGACAATTGTGATAAGAACGATTATAATGTTGAGAGTGATAAGATTAAGGATGATGATGGTGGCAATTATGATGGTGGCGATTATAAGAGCGATTATAATGTTGAGAGTGATAAGATTAAGTATGGTGATGATAAGGGTGGTGATGATGGTGATAATGACGACGGTGGTGGTGATAATGACGATGGTGGTAGTAGTGTAATTGATGGCAAAGGCAACAATAATAGAAATGTCAATAATGATGGTTATGTAAGTGGTGATTCCACTATTATTAATTTAACTACTAACAAAGCTGACGATAAAAGAAATAGTGATGATTTTGGTGATAATGCTAATGACGATGGTGTCAGCATTAAAAGGCAGAATAAGAAATTCTCGAAATTGCGTAAAATTTTCAATATCAGAAAATCAAAAAAATTGTAAACATTTATTTATATTATTTATTTTATTTTTATTTTCCTGTACATAAATAAATAAAATCCAAAATTACTTCGTGAAAACGAAAACAACCGAATCTCTCTCATCTATCATTTGATTATTATAATCCTCTTGATTAAAAACATGCGTTATGTTCTGGCTATTGGAAAGATGCATTATACAGTTCACTTTCTCTATAATAAATTTCTCTTTTGTCCCCGATTCATTTTTTTACAATTAATTTCTCTCTATGTCGAACAAAGGCAGAAAAATTACATATACGGGAGAAAGGTTCGTTATAGAGAGAGTTAAATGAAACATAGCTTTTGACAAAATAGTTCGATCCTAAAATTATCAAAAAGAAAAATATTATTTGAACGCGTAGAAAGAAACTCATATTTGCTATCTGAAAATTTAGTTGTCACGTCTTTTGTCATAATATTTACATCCACATTATCATTGATTCCTTTTTTTAATAAAATGTAATGAATTGTGAAAATGAAGAATTAGCCAAAGGCAATAATTATACTAAATGGATTCCGTTTAATCTGGACTAATTTTATGATGTAAGAAATATGTAATTATGTTTATTCAATATTATTTTCTAGTTAAAACCACATAAAAAGTCAAAGGCTTTTGTTAAGTATTTCAATATTAATATGCTGAAAGTGATTTACATTATCAAAACGACAAAATGTTTTAATTGGAGATGTGGAAAATTTGCCGCAAGTAAGACCTTTCTATAGATGGAAGACAAGGATCGGTGGAAAATGTTGGCGTCATGATCTAAAATTTAAGCACAATTAAATCATGTTTGAATAGATGGATATGTTTATCCTATTTCCTAAAGATAAAAAAGCAATCATCGAGCTGACAGAATCTAAAAAAAAAAAGATAATAATAATCTGTTATATGAAATGATGCTAATCGATTAATTTTTCGCAATCGATTATATCGATTATTATTATTATTATGAATTGATCGACAAATCGAAAAGATCGATTTTTACATTGCAACTAGGGTGATGATGAGTGGCGACCACCACCACCACTCATGATAAACACTTACTCATTTTCCTCAGCAATTGCGTTTGATTGATTTCTT